CACACACACACACACACACACACACACACACACACACACACACACACCCAATGAAAGTGAAAAAGCAAACAAACAAAAAAGGCTTCCCACTGGGCATTCCCCTCTAAGTTCTGTGTGTTCCTCTTGGTACAGTGTTCCCTGAGTTCTGCAGCAGGCTCCATGGAAGCACCTCCCACCCAGTCTTGGCTGTGGACAGACAGACACAGGTATTCACCAAGGATTCCTATCAATGCTGCAAGAACAGAAAACAAAACAACGAAGCTACTTTTCAACATATTCCCTTAATGTTAGAATACTGACAGTGTGGCCTTCGTGTCAACCCTATAGAACTTTGCTCCAATGACCTTACTGTCTTTAGTTCAAGAAAGCTGACTCCTCATCCCAGAATGCCTTTCTGCAGCATGTTAAACTAGTGGCCATCTTTTCTAGTTCTCAGCTCTGGACCAGACGTTTGTCTCTAGGTTTATGCCGAGCAGTCTCCTGAATGAATTCCACATCAGGTCAAATTCCCAAATGCAATTAATCACCTTAACTAACTCCTTTCACCCTACTTCAAACACCTCTCCCTCCCAGCATACCATTTCTATAAAGGGAACCAACCATCTAAGTTTTGAGTTTAATTCTCAGTATTTTTAACTCTTACTATTCCACATCGAAGTAGACGTCTGTCCCTTTTAAGTCTGCCTAATTCACCTCTCTGGCTTCGCCCACGTATACAATAAGCTTGGGGTTCCTGCAGGCATGGCTCACTCAAGTGGTTAACATGGGAGACTTCTCTTTTTCATTTATTTTACTGTAATGATCCCTGTCTTAGTTTTTGTTCTAGTGCTGTGAAGAGACACCACAACCATAGCAACTCTTACTACAAAAAAGTGTTTAATTGGGGCTGGCTTACAGTTTCTGAGGTCTGGCCCACTATCATCATGGGAGACAGCATGGCAGCACACAGGCAGACACAATGCTGGAGAGAGAGCTGAGAGTTCACATCCAGATCCACCCACAGGCAGCAGGAAGAGACACGGAACCTAGCTAGGGCTTTTGAAACCTCAAAGTACACCCACAGTGATACACTTTCTCCAACAAAGGCACACCTACTCCAACAGGGCCACGTCTACTAATCTTTCTCAAGCAGAGCCACTCCCTGATGACCAAGTATCTGAACAGCTGAGCCTATGGAGGCCATTCCTATTCAAACTACCTCATCAGTATGGTTCAAAATAAAGTCTCAATTCTCCAAACAGGACAAAATCTGGCCCCAAGCTTTCTTTCCCACCTACCTCGCTCTTTCCCTCTAAATCCTTCAGCACTCTACAGTACACTCTCTCATTACATTTGAGTCTGCATCACTTCTGATGATCTTTCAGCCTCCCTAAACACCCTGTGTGTCCTAGTCAAGTTCTGACTGTAGGTCAAGTTTTGTGTAAATTCTATCTTCTCCATAATTTTCTCACACCTTCATGCCCCCCCACCCGACAATCCATCTTTTCTAAAGACAATTTACACTTTCTAACTCTACTACAATCATGGCAATATTTTATTTCTACATTGTCGGAAGTGAGTTAAACTTGTACCATATTATAGGGCACATCCAAAAGATGCTTACCATGTACAAAATTATCTTCCCTTCACAAATAGTGTTGCTAAAAGGCCTGGCATAAATTAAACCTATAATAAATAAATACCTTCTAATTACAATTTCATTTAAATTATATGGCAAGTCATACATGTACAGAATTTTCAGGACCTCAAAAGTGGCACAGCCAACATTATCAATATGTAATCATATTATTATATGATTTTACGAATATCATGTAAGTGTTTGGGGTATACACAATTCCCCAAACTGCCTTAAAAATGAGCTGCTAACTACTGAAAAATGGTCTTCCTGATGTAGTTGTATATATCAGGCAGAATAAAACTAGAGCTGGTCTGCTATGGCTCCAGTGGGAACACAGGTGATTTCCTATTTTAAATACAGCACTTTGTATCAGCAGAGAAAACTGCTTTTCAGGGCCTCCTGGGTTATAAGAAATTCAGGTTTAATATCATTCAAGTAAAGAAAGTAACATATTATTCAATTACAAAAGTTACTATTTACTGAGCACTTACAACCATGTCAAACTCTGTTCTCAACATTGATGAATAATCTTCTTTAGCACTGATGAAATTCTATGCATCAGGGACACTTTTAAAAATAAACATATAATGAAGATAACTTTTTTTCCCTATTGTGGTCTATGGATCCAGCAAGAATCCAGGGTTGCCAGGGAAGTGCTCTGATACTGAGCTACATCCTCAGCCCTTGGTGTTTTGAGACAAGGTCTCACTACATAGCTCAGGCTAACCTGAACTGCACAGTCTAAGTTGGTCTTGGCCTCATGATTCCCCTTCTTTGGCCTCCCAAATGTCTTGCATATTATACATGTTTTACACTCATCTTATTAATTTTTTAAGGATATTATACATGAGTGCTGCATTTACATTATTTCTGCCCTTCTCTCTGTCCCCTCCAACTCCTCTCATGCTCCCCCCTCTCAATTTTTTCCTTTTTAATAACTTTTCCCTCTTTAATTACAAATTAGTAGACGGTGTACTTGCTGTGATGAGACAATTATACACAAGTTGTGACTAGGAATCCAGCAATGTAACTCCGCTTTACTTATTCATTTCATTTTAATAATGTCAATATTATTATTGACAGCATAATAATAAATAAACAAAATAATGCATGTGACCACAAGATGAAAAAGAAGGATAAAACTTAAGGTCAAGGAACATGTCTCTTCTTTGGTCTTTACTCAACACAAGACTTTACGCAAATAAATAATGTGGCTTCTTTGATTCACATCCATACTCTTGATGAGTATGGAATAGCTATTTTCAGACTTTCTGCTAGAGTTCGCAACACAAAGACAGCTTGTTTTCAATCCACACAGAACGCATGATCTGAGACACAGATGGAAAGGGAATAACTGTAACAGTGTGGGCTAAGTGCTCAGAAGGGAAGGGGTAAAGGCATCTAAGCCAGATTTGGGGATCAACGGACAGCTCTCAAAGGATATAATTCCCACATTGAAACTGGAGAAGATGAGTAAAAGTTAGACAAAAGAAGTAGAGACTTCCAGATAGAGGGAATGAGGGTCAAAGATACGGGCATGGAGGAAAATGTTAATAGTAGATTCTAGAGAACTTCATGTTGTAAAGAATAATTTTCACCAATAAAGAACATAAATGGGAGCACTCTCTAAACTGAAAGGAACCTGAGATGTTTCAACAAATACTATTAATCAATTGTATCAAGGGATGACATCAGAAAGCAAAGCGACGCTGAAACAGAACCACTAGGGACAGCTAACGGCCAGATTTTGAGATTTGGTACAAATCTAGGAAATCATAATTCAGTACCTTTCACATCTGGTCGATACTGCAGCCCGTCATCCTTCTTTCCCAATAAGTTCGTGTCGTCTGTGTCTGTAAAAAAACAGTTGTCAGGTTAACCACACCTGATGCTGAAGTCACACCATGGATTCACAATGACCCAGCTGCTCTGGCTCCTCCAAAAGGTCTACCTGTCCTGCTCAGGTATGTCCTTTACCAGCCTACTCTTCCAACTGACACAGAGGACTACATCTATCATGTGCAAGAATAATATTTTGACATCTGTAAAACTGTAGGAAAATTTCCCTCGTTCTCATCAGCGTTTCTGTCTCAGATCACAAGTGCTCCCAGGTCGATCTCTGCATGATAAACAGATTTCATTTGGATTTCAGCTCAAATGTCACCTACTTTAAAAGTCATTCCTGTGTAAACCGAAATAACATCCACCCCTTGGAGAAGCTCTCACTCCAGAGAACCGCTGAGCTCAAGATTTACCTCCTCCTACCACGTTTATCTGAAATATGAGATCACAATCAATATGGGATCTCTGCTATATTGTCAAACAACATTTAGGCCTTTTTATGTGGACTGCACTGGACTGTGAAGACTAAAGGGAATCATTAACTCCTGCTGAGAGGTATGGGCTTCCACCTCCAACTCCCAGTGAGAGAAGCAATGGGAGGCACACTTAGATGTGGATAGAAAATTATTGAAAGGAATAAAATAAAACTTAAGCCTCCACCACTCCAAACCTGTATAAACTTCTAATAAAACTCTCCAGTTTGCCTACTGCCCTGAACTGGATATTCCAGGGAAGACCATTCAAACATCCAACCCAAGCTCTAAATGCTATTGCATGAAATAAACTAAGCTGTATTCGAAGACCAAAGCCACGGAACGTCTACCTATGGGATCTCTCTGCCAGGAAATGGCTTCCTCCATCGTGCCCATACCTCCCTACCTGGAAAGTTTCTGTGGACCTTCTGGAACCTGCTAGCAGCTCAGAACCAATATGGAAGTGTGACAAACACAATTCATTACTAAGACAAAGTAAAAAACTCGTCTTTACAACCTTTTTTGTCTTGGCTCAGACAAAGCACATACCTGTAGTGAGCCCCCAAAGAACAAAAGCAAAGGGAGTAGAACAGCAAAGCAGCAAAGACTATACTCCTAGTCCACAAGGAGAGGCCTGGCCCCGAGTATTGCTAGCTCCATTATCCTAGCTGACAAGGTATTACTGAGGAGAGAAGCCTATGTCACTGGCTTCAGTAACTGTCAACATTTCTAATAGGAGGAGAAAACAAAACGTATTCTTATATGGTTCATGTTTCCTAAATCATAATAAAAAGGAGGAAGGGCAAATGGAATTTTCCTTTACATTCTGTGACTAATTGCACATAACATGTTTTAGGTGAAGTGGGGGACAGAGGAAATTATGTGAGAGCTCTTATGCTATAGGGGGAAGGAAAGACTCTCTATATATACACACACAGCAAATGTATAGTTTTACTGCAATTAAAATAGTCTAAATTCCAGCTATAATTGAATTTGAGATTACTTCAGAACTATCAATACATCTCATATTGATACAGACACACTCACATCAGGCAAGGATAAGTAACCAAAAGACCAAGACACAGTTCATGTCTGCAGAGGGTGAAAATAAACAAATGTCTGAACTGATAGCAGATGAAGCTTTAAAATGTACAGTAATAGCAAGACCAAGCCTGAAGGCTTACTCGTGTCACAGGGCTGAAACACAGCTAAGCAAGAGCAACAACACATGACATTCAAGACAGGTCCCTGGTGGACAGGGGGATTTACCTGTACAGTGGCCAAGATGCCTTATGTCGATCTGTTCTTGCTTTATACAAGATGCTTCTCGAACGAAACAGGGATTGTTGTAGGAACTCCCATCAGAAGCACACACAGGGTTAAAACTGTACCCACTGCAGTCTATGTTACATACACACCTGTTGAGATAGACAACAATCACCTACACTGGACAAGGAAAGAATCTCTGTGCAGCAAAAGCAAACAGCGACTCCCGTCTTTCTCGTTGCCCTCTGCAACACAAGGCAGAGTGAGGATGCTAGGTCACCTGTAACCCAGTGAACTGGATGCCCAACTAAAAAGGTATGGATTTGGAAATCAGGTCTTCCAGACATTATGTCACCCCAGTCAGTAGTCTCTACAATTTTCATTTTTAGATCAAACCATGAGCAGCTCTTCAATGTCAACAACATTGACCTAAAAACAAAATGGTACCACGGGAAGAGCATAGACCAGCGTTTTAAACCAAAGGTCACTCTTTGTATCCAGCATCTTCCTCAAAGTCTTATTCTACCCACCTGTAAAATAGATAATACTATACCTACACCAAACAGTTGGGATGATTTAAAAATATAATAGATATGAACTAGGTAGAACGTGCTTTCTATCAATCTACCTGAGCACCCAGCCATGGCACTCCTCCCAAGAACAATGGAATCCAACAGTGAGAAGGACACACAGTCTCTAGCAGTACTATGGCCTAGCAAAACTTCACCACCCTCCTACTGAAAACAAATAAGGGGCAAAGCACTTTAAAACTTCCTCTTGGATACACCCCAAAGTTGGTGTGAAAGTCAGGAATGTTCAAAACACAGTGACATGAAGACAGAAAGTCCCAGGTTTCACCTTAAAGGTATTTACCAAATGGGCAGACCCAGTTATCAGCTTTTTGGTTTTATGGGCTTCCGGGAACAGGAGACATATATAAAAATGACCCACCTAAGGGAGAGAATACTGAGACCTCCAAAAAGTTTCAAGTCTTGCCATGAGTTTCAATATGCCACAGCTTTTTAAACAGGGCTGTCCTGAGCACTGAACACTGGGAGAAAAACATCGCCCCTGAGAACCCACAACCAACAGCCAGTTCTCTATTGCAATTTAAAATATGATTGATTCTTCTGAAGTCCCCTGTCCAGAACTGAAGAGGTTAAGGACTGGATGGAGTCCTGGGCAAATAACAGAAGCAAATAGGATCCCCTCGAGAGAAGCCCAGTTTCGTCCTAGGACTTTGTGATTCTCCACAGTGCAAAAGTGAGAAAAATAACACACACGTATGTGCAGGCACAGGCACGCTTGAATATACGCACACACATGCACACACAGAGAAAGATCTATTCAAAAGAACTAAACACAACTTCTGTGAATAAACAATGGTTCAGTAAGAACAAAAGTTTCAATAGCTAGAGATAAGAGATAACAAACCAGAGGAGAAATGGAGAAACATAAGACCAGAAACTGCTCAGACCATATCAGTGGCATGAAAAGCAGGATAAAAGACACAGACAAGAATCCAAAAAGCTCATGAAAACCCCAGGGTATACAAGGGTGGAAAAATGAAGTGGGCAATGTGCCCAGTAATTTAACTTTAAACTTTCTAAAACTAAAAATAGAAATTTATCTAAGCACCTACAAATCCCAAAGCAGAATCTGAAAGTGGAGAATCTACTAAATAGTGAAATTTTGTTCACAAAGAAAAGACTAAAAACAACTACAAATGAAAAAGATTTAAAAAAAAAGTCAAGAATAAAAAGAACTGATTGAAGAGTAATACAGAAGCCAAATTTATTTTAGCCAAAAGGACATAAGATAATACTTACAATATTGAAATTAAGCAGAATTCTATATAGAGAAAAACACTTTTTTTTTTTTTTTTTTTGGTTGGAGACAGGGTCTTGTGTATCCCAGGCTAGCCTCTAATCACAAAGAGGCTAAGAACAGCCTTAAACTCCTGCCTTCGCCTCTGAGGTATTGAAATCACTGGCACGAACCCCCCACACCCAGTTTATGCAGTGCTGAGAATCAAATCCAATGAGAGCTTCATCAGCACCAGGCAAACCTTTTACCAATGGAGCTACACTGTGGTCCCCCCAAAAAATGCATAAAAGAATAAGAGAAAAATAAAAGCATCTTAGGGAAAAGAAAAGTCTTAAATGTCAATTCTCTTCATTGTTGAAAGGAATTCTAAATACAGAAAAAAAGGATCCTAAAAGGAAGGTTGAGATACTAACATAACTGAGGAAACAAGGTATAATGTGTGTGAGTAATGCTAACAAAATGTTGAGTATGGAAGACAACAGCGGTGTCTTCCAATGTCAGCTCAACATGATTAGAGAAAGAATTCAAAACGGCAGAAAGAAGAAAGGCCAGACAAGATGTACAAGTCAACAGGTGGGTAAACACACACACACACACACACACACACACACACACCTGAAATGCATTTAAGAGGACTACATTTTAAAATTAGATGTTAAAGACAGGCCTGATAAAATTACAAAGCAGGCTCCATGCTGCCTACAGGATAACATGCTAAGGCTCTGGAAAGCACGCCATTGCAGAGAGAGGGCACTGGATCAGTTCCCAATACCCACATCACGTGGTTCTTAACTGTCTAGAACTCTGTGGGGGTCTGGTGCCCTCTTCTGGACTCCACATACACACACCCACACCCAAACCCACACCATACACACATAATTAAGAGACATATGTTAAGACAAAATGGTACAAAAATTGAGAAGAGAGAATGAAGAGTGAAGGAGACATGTTTGCTATGGGTAGAGTTAGAATCATATAGAAAAGACTTCAGGATAACACAGAAGTCGTATAGTAATACTTGCAATACTAAGACATTTTATTATCAGGAATATTGTCTAACATTTTAAGATAGTCTCAGCATCTGCAAAGCAAATATTGACAAGACCACTGTGAAGACTACATCACTCAGTAACTCATACAGCAAACATAAAATGCCAGCAAAATGAAACCAACACCTCCCCCCAAACACATAAACACAATGAATCTGACATTGGCTTAAAATATCTCCCACAAAAAAAAAAAAAAGAAGAAGAAGAAGAAGAGAAGAAAAGATAAAACAAACAGGCTTTTGAAGCTGAGTGACGGGTACATGGGGAGGGGCCCACTTTATTATGTCTTCCTTTCCTGTGTGTTTGAAGCTTCCTTCAACTCCTGACACTCTACAGACCAGATGTGAAAGGCAGAACTAAACACTAAAAGATTTAGAAGATCAAAGGTAAGAAACGTATACACCTGCCTTTGAAATAAAAAAAGGGATAATTATAGCCCACATAACCAACAACAACAACAAAAAAAATTAGTATCCAGAATACATAAATATAAACTAGTTTCTTAAAGGATATATAATCAATGGGGAAAGAGAGGAGAGAAAGCAGATGAGGAATGGAAGAAGCTTAAATACGATATCATAAAGAGGTGCAGCCTAACGGGGTTTATCTTTAGTGACCATAAGCGGGAAACTAAGACCACAAACACGGAATCGAAGCCACAAAGCTGCTAGGGATGAAAACAAAGGCAGCACCAAGCATGGCGAGGATGAGCAGCGGGGGCTCGCGGGAGAGCCTACCGGAACAACCACTTTGCCAAGTACTCATACCCTGTACTTGCTCCACAATGTCACTCTTCAGTGGACCCAAGAGTGTCTTACAGGCATGCAAGAAGACATTAAGCACACTGGGTTTTTCACGAGAAGACTATAAATGACCCAAATGACTATCTACAGTAAAATGGGGCCACAAATGCATTCAACACACAGTGAAAATGAGTGGACTCCAGCTATGTACTACTTGCCCTAAATGAATCTCAAGAACAGTGCTATTACATGGAAAAGGTCAAGAATGCATGTGGAGAAGGCGATGTTTGTTTGCTTGTTTTTGTTTGTTGTCAACTTGACACAAGTCTCTGGGTCATCTGGAAAAAAAAAGAACCTCAGTTGAAAAAATATTTCCACCAGACTGGCCTATAGACAAGTCCTTGTACCATTTTACTTATTAATGATTGACAAACACAGCGAGATGTAGGCAGTACGACCCATGAGCAGATAGACCTGGGGGGTATAAAAAATCTAGCCAAGCAAACCATGAGGAGTAAGCCAATAAGCATTATTCCATCATGGTCTCTGTTTCAGTTCAAGTCTCAGCCTCCCTCAGTGGTGGGCTATGATAAGGACACATAAGCCAAATAAACTCTTTCTTCCTCAACGTGCTTTTGGTCATGGTGTTTATTGCAGCAATAGAAAGTAAGCTAGGACAATGCGCACAGCAGCATTCAATTGCATAAAACCAAGATAAATCAAAGGATGAGAGAAATGGCTCAATGTCTAATGGCTCTGTCTGACCTTCCAGAAAACCTGGGTTCTATTCCCAGCACCCACATGGTGGCTCACAACCATATGTACCTCCATTCCCAAGGGATCTAATGCCCTCTTCTGGCCTTTGTAGGTACACATGGTACATACACATGCACACAAAACCAATATACATAAAACAAAATTCAAAGAGGAAGAAAGTAAATAAATCAATAGCAAAATAATATATATTTTAAGAGATACACCACATAAAATAAAAGTATAAAGAAAGCAAGAAAATATTTTACACAAAATGTCGTCTACTAGGTGAATGGGAAGAGTCAAGAGGAGCCCTGAGTTCTAATAAATGATATGGTTTGAATATAAGTGACCTCCAAAAGACGTGTGTGTTGAAGCCTTGGTTCCCAATACAGTAGAATTCAGAAACAGAACTTTTGGGAAGTGACTGAGACCAAGGAGGCTGTTTTCATCAATGGATTCACCCATCGATGGATTCATCGTTTGAGAGCGTCACTGGGTGACAGTGGGAATTAAGACATAGGGCCTACAATGAGGAAGCACTAAAGATACATCTTGGCCCTAGCCCTTCCGGTCAATCTGCTTCTCATTCACTTTAAAGTTGAACTGCGAAGCTCCATTATGCTGCATCTGCAGGCTACTCATGTTCCCATAGCAACAGGGGCAAGTGACCATGACCATCAACCTCTGAAGCAGTGAGCAAAACAAATCTTTCTAAGGTTACTTTTCTCTGATGCTTTATCAGCCATGAGAGCAACACTGTAAAATTCTATTCCTTGG